CAACGATCTGAACCAAAAATGTATCGCTCCATCAGACCCGCTGCCACTGGTTTTCAGTCCAGTTCTTGTGTAATTTGCCACACCTCTGTCTTTTCTGTTAGTTTCCCTTCTTAAGAACGGCTTCTCGACAGCCACCTTTCCACTGAGACCCTTTTTGATTCAGTTCATCCCTTGACTTAGGCGTCTGTTTTATGCTTGAATGATTTATGGGTCATTTATTAAGTGCTTCAACAAACAAACAAACACATAAATTCCCCTGAAAATGGTCATGTGCAAGGACTGGACTGCAAATTGGTTCAGAAAGCCTGGAGCTTTATTGCTCAAGAGAACGTTAAAGGAAAGTATGGCTCATTGGACACAAACACTAATATAAAGGATGGATTTTGCAAAAAAAATGTTATCCAAAGTGTTAGCATAACCACTCCTTGATAACCAACCTGGGCAACGTCACCAGCAAAATACTGTAAATAAAGAAAAAGCAAAACAATTTCTACATAATGAGAAATAGAAATTCTGAAAATTTCTGCTTTTAAGTTCATCAACTTGGAAAATGAAGTCCGTAACTTTTAAGGCTCAGAATTTAGTTATAACATATAAAACTTCCTCGTACAACTGTACAAGACATGATAAATAAGGCCTTTCTTTCTTTAAAAATGACTGTGGTATCTGGTACTCTTCTCACATTCCTCTACTGTCTTTACTATGGTAATGTACTCATGTAGATCAAACAGAGAGGAAGTGGGGACAACAATGCAGCCGAGACTCGTCCAAAAGCTGTTGACATAAATCACAGACATTCGTTCAGCTTTCGGTCACACTCTCCTGCTCTTCCTCATGCATGACAGAATGCAGCATCAGGACATTTTACAGTAAATGGAGACTGGTATGTGTGAGTGTGTTGGATGATATTGATTTACAGAAGAGGAGAAAGCAGAGGAGTTGAGCCTGAAGCGTACCATCTGTACAAAGCCAGACAAACAGAGCTGCCCACCTAAAATCAAACTGTGGTGACTGTGTGAGCTGGAAAAAGTCTTCTATGCTACACAAAATGACGTGGGATGTTTGTCTTGTTGTTTAAATTATTTTGTTAAAGATATGACACATAGTGTGCACTTTCTAAAAATCTTATTTTTTAGAGCCCGACTATTTCGACACAGGAAGGTGAAGTTATCAAGTAACAACAACAAACTCGGCTAGTCTCCAGATCTGAAAGGTATGGAAGCTCGTTTCCGCTCACTTGTTACACGAACTCAGTAAACACTTTTCTCAAGAGATTATGAGCTCAGTCACTGGTTGCATATCTTAGTTATTACAACATAGTGTTCATTTTGTAAATGATGGCCCCTGTTTTCCCCTCTGTGGTAAAGAAAACATGTCCTTGGCCCAAACAATCTTCAGAAGCCAAAGGTTAGACGTGTTTGGACCTCAGAAAGTTTATAATACACAACTTCAAGCTTCAATAAAATGTAAACAGTTGGGTTATAAAAACATTTAACCAGTTGATATAAAGGAGAAATCAGCCATAGTGAGCTTTTTTTTGTACCATGCTGTAAAAGATGTTTATTTCTGCTGTAAAACCAGGCATCACTTTCCAAAATAATATCCTCACTCTCAAGTTTAAGACTGCGTACAATAAATGGAGTGCAGACACATGCAGAGATGCACACATTAATATCGCTGACTTTCATCTGTCTAGATGTCTCAGGCATTGGAAGCTTGTCCCCCTTGCGTGCCTGTGCTAATGCTTAGTAATTCAGATGCCAAACCTGTCTCAGGCGAGACACTCCGCTCCCCTTTCGGTCACAATGGTCAGGGCTTTTTGCAAGATAATTGCATCCTTGTCATAAAAAACCCCTCACCAGGAGCGATGAAAGAGCAGGACTCACGGCTGAGATTTTAGAGGCCTGACCTGCTCTTTCTGTAACGGTGGTTAAGCATGTGGGGGTCAGACTGCGCCTGCAGGTAACGGCTTTTTAGAGCACACTGTGTGGACAGGTCGAGTGAAATCAGGGTGATAAATGCTAAATTTTGGGTAGCTTAAAATGGTTCAAATAGAGGGAAGGGACGTTAACTCTTTGGATGTAATCCCTCTCAATGGGGAACTTAAGAGAAGGTCTCCTTTTTCTCACAAAAGCAGGGTAGCAGGTCGATGGGGTGGGCACGGAGTGGAATTTTCCTCAGCTTAAGTTGGGAAAAAACATGCCAGTAATTAAAATAATTTAAGCTGCATGATCATCCTTCAAGTGTGGCGATTCCATAATTTTTTGTGCCTCTGTTGTTGTTTACTTTGTGTTCCCTATGTTACTGTTTTCTTCAGTATCTTCGTGTATGACTCTTTTGGACTTTTACTCAGTCTTCTTTCTGAAGTCTCAGAATTACAGCGATGAAATGACCTTTAAAGACAAACGTTTGACCTCCTCGTCCTCCTTGTTTGCAAGCTCCAGTAAATGATTCTATAAATTACCTCCGAGTCTTGTAAAGTATTCCTCGTGCACTGAGGAAATCAAATCTGCACAGCACCACTCTGAGCTCTACGATGAGTCAAATTATCTGTTGTAGGACTCCTTTGTCACGGTTTGGAGTTTCTGTTTAAATACTTCCTGTTTTATTTTGAAATCTCGTTCATACGCCTCAGTAAATTCTACTTCCAGCATTGTTTTGTTTCCTGTGTTTTGTACAGTCAGTATGATTGGTAGACACACCTCTCCATGTGTTTGTCTTGTCTTCTGTGTGTTTCGAAGTGATCTCTTTGCGCCTCTCTTTGACTTTTTGGGCTTTGCTTCCTTTGCTTTGGGTGTCTGTGCTGGTTTTCTATATATGCACGACCCCTGTCCAGGTTAAAGACCACATGCTAGATTTTTACTTTGCATCCTGTACCTCACATTCAGGTCCTCTCATCCTTGCTTTTCCTTGGACTCAGTAATTTTGGCTTTGAGGTCATTTTCAAGCTGCAAGATGAAACTGGAAGCAATGAGAAGTCTCACTGTTGGTATTGCAATGAAAATACCCCCCCTCCCCAAAAAAAATTCACAGTGCTACATGTTGTTATAGTTTTGATTAAACATCTTTCTCTAACGAGGTTTTTAAATTCTAAACTGCTGAATTAGAGACAGAAATCATTCTTTGAGCTTACACGTAAGGCTTGATGTGACTTCAATCTTAAACCGATTAATAGGCATTTTTCTTTGGATTTTACGCTTCCGAACATAAAAGCTTCTCCTGCTGCCAGAGGACAAGTGAGAGTACGTTTCCACTAAGAGAAACTGAACTGTAAAATGAGTGGAAATGCAAATGAAATTCTGTTTACACTGCTGATATCTCAACTCCCATAGCAATTTTGATTTTATAAAGCAAATTTTGGAATAGATTTATCCGTGTAATTCTCCACTGATATGGCTTCTACGCCACGAATATTAACTATAAAAGAATCATTTGAGTGTGGGTGCTGTAGATAATGTCTTTTTTTCCCACAGCTGCTGAAGCGTATTTGCATTTAAATTCAATTTTATTGCACATTACAAACATTTCTGTGTGTGTGAAGTCTCACTTTTAGTCACATTCTGTGTGATTTTGGGGGGATTTGACTCATTTCCTGAGATGATACGAGAGGATTAAAAAGAAAAAAAAATCAATTGCTCTGGTTTCTCTCGAAGCTACAGTTGGTGGTGAGGTGCTGATACTTCGAGGTGCAGCACACTGATGTGACTCAGCTGTGTACCGTCCAGGAAAGAACTTCATCCAGTAATAACAGATGATCAATGCTGCAGTTTTTACTCTGCAGAGACGTTTGAAGTGAGCCACTGAGCAGCAGGACAGCTTTAGATTAAAACCAGAGAGCCTTTAAAACATCTCTCTTTGAATCTAAAAGTATGTCAGTGGTGCTTTTTAATTATTACTTCCTGTTTAAATTTTGAAAGCAACCATGTCGTGCATCAAGTCGTGTGCTAAAGTTGGACGTAGAGATTACAGCACCTCCCAGCAGCTCAGAGTGCTGTAACGTTTAAGAAACACACAGATTGTATAAAATCAGCAAATATGACTTAAAGTTAAAGAAATTTAGGGGGGGAAATAAATTAACACACAATAATATATAATAAAACATGTTTTAACTGCCATTAGCTGTACTCGAGGAAGAGCAAACATTGGATGGAAGTCAGTAATGTGGATATCTGGTGGAAAAGCAGCGCTTTGAGCAGCTGCTTAAAAGCTTTAACATGCAAGAAAAAATGCTTCAGTCTTATAGTGTGCAGCTGTCACTGTCTACTATGGTATGTAATTACTATTGCACTATATTGCTGCTGCTGGCACCTTGTGGTGATAGAGTCACACTTTAAACGGAAAAGTGTGTCATCAGTTACATTGTTTGCACTGATAAATAACCTCCTGCGAGCTACAATCACCAACAAAACACTGTTATTTTCTACATCATAATAAATATCATTATTGAAAATTTCCAGGGGTCCAGGTGGTGGGACAGCATCCTACGTTGAGACCTGTCTTATCCCAGTCACGTCTTAATGCTTGACTTCAGGTATTTTAAAGTCTTGTTGTCACAGGTGTGTAAAATCAGGCACCTAGCCATGGAGCCGGCCTTTACAAGCATTTGTGAAAAAATGTGTCGTTTTCTAAAGAGCTCAGTGAAGTTAAGCGTGGTATTGTAATAGCTAAACTTTTTAAATTTTATTTCATAAATTACAGCAAAAAAAAACAAAACAAACAAGAACACAGCAGAGCATACTTTAGGGTGTGACCAGCATGCAGTGCTCACTGGTTTCTCAGCCAAGCTCCTGATGTCTGTTTTTAATAGGGGGTCACAAAGAGGCTTCATCCCATGGGTGCTGTCATGCTGGCTATGTGCACGCCTTTATCTTTCTATATACAAACGAATGAATTATGCTGAACTATGCAGACTAATCTTATTAATTTAATATTTTTAAATCTATATATAAATGTCAAACATCAGGCATGAAGCATTAATCCTTCCCCTCGTTCCATCCTACCTTGTGGTGTATTTGGACTCTGAGCAGAATATTCTTGTAGCTGTGGCCGTCGTTGACCTGCAGCACCGCCCCGTCCCCTGCCCCCTCCGAGCCGTCGTGGATGTACTGAATCTGTTCCCGTGACAGCTCCTCCAGCTTGAATCGGCTGAGAGCGCGGTCGCTGTGGAGACGGGTCAGCCGGCCATAGCGGGGCGGCTCAAGCACCATGACCAGAACATCGGCTGCGTTGTCAGGGTCGTCGACCTGCAGGACCGACTTGGTGATGGTTGCCAGGCTGCCACGGCCCTCCACGGTAAGAGGAGAGAAGGTCACGACTCTCGGGGGCTGGGAAGGATTTTAAAAAACAGGAGGAACAGCTTTGAATATAACCTGACAGCTGTGAAGGACAGAGGTAGATTTGATTTAGGAAACATACAGCTTAGATACATTTTAACACTTCTAAAGGCTGATAGCAGAGGGGGATACAGCAGTTTACCCCAAACACACTCAAATCATCACATGATGTATTTTCTCCCAGAGAACTGGGACACGGGGGCTGTGCTGACGCCAAGGGAAATGAAGAAATGAAGGTAAGGCAGAGATGAAGCTGGGCGCCTCATTAAGCTGCACTCAGCGATACCTGGAGCCTCACCACAGATGGCAAAATGCTTCATCTTGCTAATAAAGCCATTTTAGGAGCACCAGCAGGACTGGGAGGCCTCGCGTTGTAAACAAGAGCATAACTTTATCCATATTCTTCTTTACACTTTTAAAATGAACCGTTCTTCTTAAAAAAATAAAATCTATCTAGACTAGATGTCAAACCTCCACCTCAAAATAAAGCATATGTAAAAAAAACAACCTGCCATTGTTCTTCCTCTTTAGATGTAAGAAGTAAGGACAACTGGAGAGTGTTCACCTGATCCAACGGGGATATACACTCTTTACCACATGCACTTAAATGCTTTTCCAAACTACAGAAAGTATTACTTAAGTTTAGTGAGAAATCTACTCATAAACAGATGGTGAACAGCCTGAGATCACCCTCGGTGGACTAGCTCAGTTTCCACACGTACAACCCTGGTCTCGATATTTTTGACTGTAGAGATCTCTTCCTTCTCTTGGCTATGAGGAAATACACAACACTAGCTTTGTGCAGCTCAAAGCACTTAAAAATAGATCTGAACTGCACTCAGCAGGAATCCCAGCAGGAATCATGACTGGTTACTCAAAAACCCCACAAACCTTGTTTGGAGAGTAGGAACTATTTTCTTTCTGCTTAACCACACCCGACCCCATAACTAAGCATCACAAGTAAGAAAAGGGCTCTTTCTTGTTAATACACGATAATTTTCTTTTATTTGTTTTCTGTGGATGAATCAATAGAACAGACTTCTCGTGTGATTGAGGGTTAGTTCCCTCTTTCTTCCATAGGAATGTTTGGGTCCAATGTGAAATCCGATCATCTTTTGCATCTCACTTAAGATGTTTAATCACAACTTGGTCCTGCAGGAAGTTTCTTCCTGTTAAAAGGGTGTTTTTCCTTTCCACTGTCTCCAAGTGCTTGCTCATAGGGTGCCGTCTAACTGTTGAGGTTTTCTCTGTATTACTGTAGGATGTAGAGCTGACTGTTGTTGTGAAACGTAATAAAAATGAAACTGAACTCCTCACATTTCTGTTTCCATAGGGGAAAATAAACCTAAACCTGTACTTAAAAAAGGAATCACAGATGCATGTTTTAATTTCCTGTGTTTAAGTATGTGACAAGGAAAACAACACAGCCAGGATGGTAAAATCTGGAAGCAAAACGGCTTGGCTAAAGTTCATTTTAATGCAATTTCTCCACAAAACATTTGTTAGCAGAGCAGCTTGGCAGGGACGAGGTACAGGTAGAGATGCATAGGCTGTCCCTGCGGAGATGCCAGTCTGCTGTGGCCTTAAATCAAACCGTTGTCAGGTACCGAGCTCTGAGCCGCTCAGCCTGACACAGGGCTTGTGTCCAATTCGCAGTGTTTGCCGGTGGTTGGCCGAGCTCCAGCTTTTTGGCATTACAGCAGCAACTTGAGCAAAGGGCAATGCATGAAACAAGCTGGCGCCAGAGAGAAGGATGACTTGTGGGAAAGTCATGCCCACACACTCCCTCTGTGTGTCTTTAAACCAAAGTGACCCCTGGTTGAAATTTCTAGACAGAGAACTGAAACAAAGCACAAAAACACAGGAGGCGCACGCAGTTATCTGCAGCCCCCTGCAAGGGGGCCATGTGCTGACAAATTTTTAGACGTCAGAGGAGTTATCTCCAAGAGACAGACAACTTATTCCTCAGGCGCACACCTTAATCCTGTGTCGTCATTTCTGCAATTCTCACAGGGGAAACAAAAGGTTTTGTGCTGGTGGGGGCTGAAATTGTGTATGTGTGTGTTATTATTTTTTAATCGTGCTAAGACATGCTAACGCATGAAAGGCAACCGGTAAAATCTCCTCCCTGAGGCAAACGAAAGCAAACATAGGCGCGCTGAGGTGGGAGGGCTAACCTTTCATCCTGCCCTTACAGGTAAAGTGAGGTTCATTTTTGGCAGAGCTGTCATCACCCACGAGGCCCTTGGGGCTCTGCTGTACTTCAAGAAGATGGGAGAGGCTTTTTGTGTGGTTGTTTTTGAGTTTATTTCTCGTTTGTTCTTAATTTGTTTTGTTTTTCCTGCTGGATGGTGTTCATGGGGAACAAAGTGGAAGAATTTCCAAAGCCAATTTCCACCCTGTGTCTGCCTTATCTGCAGCTTTTCTTTAGTGCTTTTGATGTGTCAAACCATCACAGCACAGACCACTGAACTGCAGTCTACCTGGACGTATGATTAAAAAATGACCGTTTCACAGATTGCCTATAGTTTTGGCTCGGTTATATTTGGTCTTTTTACTGAATTTCAACAGAAAATAAAGGCAGACGGCTTATTGGTATTGACTGACAGCTAAGCGCGCTGCACAGCAGATACTGGACTCTTAGAAAGTTTTTTCAAAAGAAGCAGCCACTCCTGTCAGAGGGGGGGAGGGAGGCTATCTGCAGCTCAGATCTTTCATTCCTGAGGCTATTACATTCAGAGGCCCTGCTGGCTGGCGATCTGATAGGGATTTCAATTAAAAATGTATTTTATTTTGCTTTTAGCTACACAGAGAAGGCTGCATAAGCAGAAATCGTCTTGTTCTCCCTGCTGTATAGTCGAGTCAGTGTGCGGCGTAGTTTGGTTTTTCCAGCTCTGTATGGGACAAAATAAAAATTATGCATGAATAATAGGTGCAAGCCTCTGGGCTGCAAAAATAAAACAAATGCTTAAATTCCAAAAGCTGCAGCTCCTCTAATGACCACTGGAGGCAGAGCCCACAGTTTGGGGTGTTAACATGAAATAAAAATTAAATGCAGCCAGTTTCCTCCTGCATGACATTTTTCACACAGCTCACCTGTTTAAATGTTATAAATGTGTAAAGTAAGCACGGTCAGGAGCAGGAAGGGTTTCTGGCTGAGCTTCTGCTAATCTGAGTCACTAAACTGGATCTATGGACCATGTTTGTGCTGTTGGTGCTTTTTGGAGCAACATCTATCTGGTAACTGTCATGGCTTGCTGTGCATTAAATTTTACACGCTGTCCTGGAAGTCTGTGCTCCAGTTTTGACGCGTGAAATTCTCATATATTATGTCTATGCTGTACATTATGTGCGTCTGTGTGGTTTGTTCATACAATTTACGACAACAAAACATTTGTTAAACTTGCTAACAAAGCATGCTAATGTTTGCACAATTATTTAGACGCTTGTGTTTGAATATGCTAACTTCTGTCCGATAAACACACAACCTGGTGATGCCCCTGAATGTGACTTCACAAATCGACAGGTGGAATCACACTAAAAGATCGCACCCATGGTCTGCTCTCAGTGTTGGTCTCTAGTCTCAAGTTCTTTCAGCATTTGATGCAGAACAGCCAGAAGATGTTGCAGTATCTTTCCCCCAGCCTTTTACACTCACAATAATCCCTGACCCCCCAATTGATTCTTCTGTTTATCAACAATCCATGATACTAACACAACGCTATCAGCGAGAGAGCCCTGAACACAGATCACCTCTGGATCCTCCGTGCTCAAGCTGAGTGTCTGCAGACCTCAACCGACCAACTACAGCTTGATTTTTACTAATGAAGAAGATGAACGGGCCTGTAGGATTGCACATTTCTACCTGTACTCATTCCTACACTAGAATCTGTTTATTTTTGACTGTAACATCTAAACATGTTAGTAAAAGAAAGGTCTTCAGTATATATTCTTTACTGGCATTGATATTTATCCAGATATGTTGGAGGATAAAAGTTCAGAGTTGTATTGTTAATTACACGGGCGATGTTGCAAAGCCATGCAAACGTAATGCAATAAATATTGTAACAGTAGCCTAACACTGCGTATCATTAATTAGAAAAACACACATTTTATGGCTGTAGTTTGTTCACTCAATGCAATTTGACCACTGCACTCTTTTGTCTAAATGTGGTGAGCACACAAACCAATGAATGATGAAGTCACAGTTGTTATGTCCATCTTTTAAATATAGTTTCTCGTGTGTGCATACTAACGCTCTCTCTGTGTAAAATATATTATGATTGTGATGATCAAGATAAAATGGAGAATGCATTCAGTATGCTCGCAATCAAAAAACCGTCCTGCACATCTCACCGTTTCTGCCACTGAAAGATTTCTTTCAAAGCTTGAAATGTTCTGAAACCACACTGACAGGATCTACTTTCTTTCAAAGAAAACTGTAGTGCACACAACAAAAACACTGAAAGTTACATCAGTGTATGTGAGTCGCTTTGATGTGGACTGAAAGGAGCAATCACCATGTTCCCTTCTGTCTCTCTGAAGAAGTTCAAATACTAAAAAATAGCGTATTGAGGTAATGTTCTTTCTTAGAAATGTATGTGAATTACTCCCAGAACAAAAACAGCAGGTAGCCGTCTGCACATCAGAAATATTGGAGACTGTGTGGGAGCATGAAAGCTGACCACGCACATACTTGCAGAAACTGTGCAAAGATAAGTCTTTCTTGGAAAATGAAAACTCAAATGCATCTCCATTAACAGCCTCTGTCCACTAATGCTTTTTCAGAGAGGGAGGTCAGTAGTCATTAGGAAAACATACACAAAAATGTTCTCCTTTGTAAGCATAAAGTCTATTTTTCATCATCTTTTCAAAACAGTAAATGCCACAAACACTGTTGTGTGTAGAGCAGGGCGATACGAACAAAAATATTTATCACGATATACATTTGAAAATTTGCAATAACGATATAACTGACGATATAATTGACACGAGACAAAACACTTTACGACGCCACAACTTTATTAGTGCAAAAAAACCCAAAAAAACCCATCAATGTATTTTCACTTAAACAAGCAGCTGTTTTTTATATCCATTAAGTTATATAAAAATGTAACAGTGCAAATTCTTTGCTGACAGTTTAACCAAAAGACATTTCCAGTGGAAACTGGCCGACATATCCTCAGCATAACCTTGTATAATATCCACAAAACTTAAAAAGAGGTTATACACACACAATACCGTAATATTATGTTGAAGCACAGTACGTATCACTCCGCGAGGCTCCTGCCTACGATAGCCGTAATGCTCTGACAATCCATCAAGCGGTGCGGCTTCGTAGCTTAGCAAAGTCGTACTGAAACATCTGACAGATTTCCGAGCGCCGTGTACATAAAATCATTTCGAGGCCAGTAAACACAACCAGAGTTCATACATAAGGCACACGGGATTATAAGGGGCTCTGTCGACTTTCAGAAAAATCAAAGGATTGATTTTAAGTGTGCCGTATTTTCCAAAAAACACAGTAATAACGACGGCCCGCTAGCATGCGCTACCAAAAATAGTGCTTTGTTGTGTATCTGACGGACGAAAGCTAAACCAGTTCCACACCACTGAAGTTGCAGCATTTTTACAAACCAGTTCTGGTTCATCTGTTTCATTCAACGATCCACTTTTGCTCTTCTCATTGCTTTTTCCGCCATGTGCGTATGAAAACAAAGGCACTGCGCATGCGCGTTTTACCCATATTCTATCGCCATATTTCATTTTCCTATCGTTGCCCAACATTATACCGGTATTACCGTGAACGATATGATATGACCCAGCCCTAGTTGGGTGTAGGGCATTACTGTGCTATATTCTTTAATCACATTACAGTTACTAATCAAATAATCATTTTCATTTATTGCACAAAATAACAAGAATGCGATGGTTACAAACTGCATCCAGGCCAGAAACAGCCGTTCACTGCTGCTAACGTTGTGACATGGACTGTTTTCAAGCATCTGTGCAGACGGCAGAGTAACATAAAGCAACACAAGGAACACGGAGCGACGTTATTTAAAAATGAGCGCATGCTGAACCCGGCCCAGCAGCCAGAGCCCGATCTTCAGCAGCTAAGAGTGATGAGCAGTCAGGCTTGTACCGCTGTAGCCTCCAATTATACCCCATCCTGCTTCTATAGAAGAATCAATCATTGTTTTCTAGACCCTTTAACAACATCTTGTAGTAGCAATATTGGCAAATAGAGCTTGTAGTAAACAGGGGGAATAAGGGAGGTATTAAGGAACTTCCTCTCGGCTCATTGGTTTGAAGAAAAGGCATCACGGTGCAACAATCCTTTTAATCAACAATCCTTTTAATCTTTGCTTGAAACACCATAAAAAGGGTTTTATCCATAAGTGACTTGTTATTTTCAGTTACATTAATATAATATTGCTTTAACTTGTTCATTTTATTTGGGATTGAGTACTGTATTTCTAATGATGTTTATTATTTGTTGAAAGTACTGTTAAAGCTGCTTCTCTAAGCTGTCAGTATAGACTTCTGACTCGTGCAATAATATGTTTTTTCAAATTGTTGTATTATTGCTTTCTTTTGCATCGCTACATCCTAAAGGTGACTGTGGAGGCCACCTAAGTGCAGTGAACCCATTCTCAAGTTGAAGAAACCCACTTGAGATCATTTGAGCTTAATGACATTATCCTGCTGGAAGCAGCCATCAAAAGATGTGGTTATAAAGGGATGGAGATGGTCAGAAACAATACTCAGGTGGGCTGTGGTATTTAAATGTTTAAATGATGGTCAGGTGGCATTAAGGGGCCCAAAGTTTCTCAGTAAAATATCCCTCACACATTACACAACCAACACCAGCTTAAACTGGTGATCCATCACAGGATGAATCCATGCTTTCATGTTGTTTGCAAGAAATTCTGATGCTACCATCTGAATGTCAAGACTCATCAGATCAGGTGTTGTTTTTCCAGTCTTCTGTTGTCTAATTCTGGTCAGCCTGTGTGAACTATAGCCTCAGTTTCCTGTTCTGAGCTAACACCAGTGGCACCCAGTCTGGTACTCTGGATACCTTAATCTCATCTGACCTCTGAAGCCTAAATAAAACACAGGTGGGACAGACAATAACAAAGGAGAGAAGACAAAGACAGGAAGTAAAAACAGAGTAAAAGGTGAAGCAACTATGGCAACAAGACAGGACTTGGAAACTTGAAAGATGAAGACAAGATAGCAGATGGCAACATAAGAAATATCCGAAAGAGTAACCAAACATTTCAAATAAACACCAGATAAGAACCCAGGCCATGTCACACTTTAAATCGCTTTCTTCAGGGTGGTAAATATGTAACATAATGGATGACTTTTTAATAACAGTAATAACTTTTATATTGACTCCAAACACTTGTCACAAATTTTATACCAAAGAACAGGATATCTGGCCTCATCCTACACCTGCTTATAGTCAGATAATAAGTTAACCAGAACTAATTTGCACTGCTGAAGAAAGCAACATAATTATATATCGTTATCATAAAATGATAATCATCTGCTGCAGACATTAATTAATTTTGCACTGGTAGAAAACTAGTGGAGTGCCAGTCAAAACACAGACACACACAAATTCCTGCTAATGTTGTATGAGAAAGCAGATAAGATTGCGTAATTGCGAAGTCAACCAAAACAGACTCAAATGCAGCACCACCACTCAATCACCGTCTGCAAGCGGCCCCCTGAGCTCAGTGTCTGCAACATTCGTTTGCCTGGGGGCAGATTTAATAGAGCGGTCACGCTGTGCTGGATAAACACCAAACAAGGACACACTAAAAAACGTTTAAAATCCTCATTTAAGGTTTTAGGAGACTGTCAGACACAAGAAAAATGTCCTCAAGTGCACGAGTAATTCTTTTATCATTAATATTTATAATAAAAACAAAAAGGGATTTTGTTTGGAAGACTGTAGCATACACGGACCTTTGTGAGACATTTTAACTTCTTTTAACTATTTCTCCATAAACAGCGAGTGCAGTAATGCAGGTACCACACTGACCCATCAACTGTTCTCAGAGAGGGCATGTTAATCCCTTGTTTCTCATTATCTTCTAAAGCTGTGCCAAAATCAGAGGTCAGCTTGACATCAATAGAGGCGTGCTCTCAGGCTGACATTGGCCGATCACCGGGGCTTTACTCCGCAGAGAGAGAGCCTCAAAAATAATGAGAAATGCAGATCAGCTGGGATGATGCAGCAAAATGAGAGACAGGCTCACTCTAAAATATGAGCTGACAGATCAGATTAAATGTGGCTGTCTGCTGTTTGAGTGGTCGTGGAGTGAGAGGCTGCAAATCTCACATTTCTTAGCAGTATATGCAATAAACATGTAATATAAATAATATTATTAAAGCTTAAACAGGCATCAGAAAATCTACAATAACATTTCAACAGGTGAGTTTCTTGAATGTTTCAGATACATCTGCAGCTCCTCTGCTGAACTGACTGCTTGTAGTGCTCAAAGATGCTTTTATACAATGAACCCATTCAGACAAGCGCCTTTTCTACACTTGACTGATTTCTATCTAACGTTCACACACTGATGGAAGCAACCGAGAAACCTGCTCTACCTCCTGAGCTACAGATCCAACCGCCTAAAAAATGACCTGCAACCACCAACGTTTTCCTGGATGCAGGGAGGCCGTTGTCCTACTTTCACTCTAATACGACTGAGCCTTAAACTAACTACATGTACCTAACTGTAGGATGGCGGTATCCAGTTGACTCGTCCTGTATGACATTAACAAAAGTTAGTATAGTTTTTATGTGCCAAATGTAATAAGGAGACCCACTGAGATTTTGGACCACACCTTTCTTTAGAAATATGTTTTTCCTCCAGATAAATGATCGTCTGTCACTCAGGAGGTAGAGATTTCTTGCTACTAACTTCAGTCCTTTGTCAAGATACTGATTGCTAAATTGTGAGGTCTGCGGCGTGGCTGAGGGGGAGGCGGACGTACCTGAGCAGCATCCGCAATCTCGCCTCGCTGGCTTAAAAAGAATGAACTAGGTCGTGTTGTTGTTGGTGATGTGTGTGGGCTGTAGTTGAAAAGCTGGATGCTCATGTTATTAACGTAACTGCCGCAAATTTCTTTGTAAAAGTGATTCCGATGTTAAACGTTAGTTCCCCGTGACTTTTCTGCCAGGTAACTTGCGCCCCACCTGTCAGAAACTCTAATCCATGCAGCTAAATCAAATGATTTAGGTTCATGAATGTGGCTTAGAAAAGGTGCTTTGGGTGGTCTGTTGAAGTATATATGCATCACTGCAAACAATACCCCACACTCAGGTGCCCACAGATTGGACGACACTAATCTTTGAATCCTGCTATAATTTTAATCCAAACAACAAACCTGTAGAGTTTCATGAATGCACCTTGCACAGCTGCTATCGCTAATGCCATCATATTGACAAAATCTCTCCAAACTCACTGCTCAGTCAAAGTCAGGCCTCACATTTCCACAGTCCTCAAACTGGAGTCTTTTCTCTCTGCAGTAAACTTTCTCAACAAGGACTAAAGATGACAGATAGAACAAACAAACCTCTACATTTCACACTGAACTAAATTTAGAAACAAATGTGCCCCATGTAACGTCACTACATTGGTCTGCAACGTGGAAACAGCAACCTTTATTAGATATCTGGATTTGTAGCCTGAAGAACAGATTTATGATACAGCTTTTTTTAATGGCACTTTCAAGTCAGTTCATTTCTCAGTAAATAAAGGAGAGTTGAAGGAAATGTCTTCTTACCTGCATGGACACGGCTCGGACTTGAATTGTTTTCGGTTGGGAAAACAGCTGGGGATCAGCAACACGCAAGGTGAACTCACCGCTCCTGCAGGAAGACGAAGAAAGGGGAACTCTTAAATGAAGACAAATCTTGGAGTAGGGAGACTAAATTTCACCATCCCTTATTTCTGAAATTGCTTTAAAAACTGCATTAAAAATGTGACAGGCACAGCATGCTACCCTCAGTCCCGTGAGGGTAGCATGCTGTGTTGTCATTAGACCTGATCACCTGCGAGTTATCTGTGGGAGTGGAGGTGAGCTACCACAAACACACAAAAGCCCACCTGCTCACACACTCATCATCATCAATGTGCCCCCCCTACACTGCTGCCTTACCATATTCCAAGCCAAGGCTTATTACCCACAACTCCCCAGGGCTGCAGCTGGGAGACATCCAGAGAGTCTGAAGATCAAATAACCGAGCGGGTTGTTTGTTTTAGTGACAGAAAGGAAAAAGCCAAGTGCTTAGGTGCTTTTTGGACTGCAGTAGCATCTTTGAAAGTTGCTGACAAAAGTCTGCTGAAGGTTGTTTTCCTAATAGTTTTAACCGTCATGGTCCTCTGGTCCATGTGTTTCTAGTTTCTCCTGCCTCACTGGCACCACGTTTGATGCCAGTCTTCACATGCTCACCCATCTCGTTTTGGTTTTACTTCCTGCTTTTGGTCTGGACGTCTCTTCCTGCAGAGATGCTGAGATGTTCTCAAGCTAGTTGAGAGAAATAATCCCTGACTTACTGCCAGTAAAAACACACCAAACTGCAGCTCTAAAGTGAAACAGCCACAGAAACAGCCCAGATACACGTAAAGTATGGAGTTATATTAAAGTAACAGAATATATTTCTGAAAAATTGTCGCTGAAGTTGTGAATCTCATTTTCTGTGCAGAGTGTTGCTGTTGCTGGTACATGTCTTCACTTCATTATAGATGAGAGAAAGATTTTTTTTTTAAATGCAGCCTTGAGACAAGTGGAAAGGCTTCTGATCAGTAGTAAAGTCTACCACTCAAAGAAATAAAATTCATTTTTTGTCAGCGTCTTGACCCATGGCATGTTTTTCAAAGGCACTCGTGAATGAAAATCACTCATTTTGAAAGCTCAAAAGAGTTTGTCTGTAACAGCAATCAACATTTAATCTTTTTATTCATCATTCGTCCATTTTTTCCCACCATCATCTGAACGCAGCACATGTTTTTGGTTTTTTTTCCTGATGGACACATCTCCTCTTACGGGAATTAAAACCTGTTACCATGTGCTTGCTGTTCTGGGTCTACAGCCGTCATCCTCTGCTTGACATAATTTGAAAAATATGGCAGATTTAATCTCATTTGGAGTTTTACATTTTTCTGTCTCCATTAATCTAATGGCTTAAACCTGTACAGAGGATCACATTTTGCTAATTCACTGGCATGCTGCCATTTTAGGCCTAACCAGCTGAGTCAGGATTGACCAATATGACTGCTCTGTCCATTCAGACTGAGTGAGTGGACATCTGTCCCAAACACAGCGACAGAGGGGAGGCTGCAGAGAACAATGGGCAACATTTCTCACCCATTAACATAAGACTGCCTTTTGATTTTCAGCTGCTTTGTTTTCCTTTTAGGATGTCAGGGGTCAGCGCTCTTTAATGTCTGCTTTCTGCTGTCTACACGTATCTGCAGCCTCTGTGATTCCCGGCACGGAGTGCACTCAGACTGGGGTCAAACAGAAAGAAATGCAGATTATGCAAATATGACCACATTAACCCAAACATGTAAATGTAATGCATCTCACATCCATGTTCAGGTTAATAGAAATGAACTTTGGAGTCAAGAAGCAGCATAAATCAAACAGGAAACTTTGACAAGGAGTGAAAAATTAAATGTCAGGATAGTCATTAATGAGAAGGAAGGAGATGATGAGCTTAAAGGGATAGTTTTATCCACAGTTTGGGATAAGCTAACAGTTATAGTGATCAGGTCAGAAAGGTCTGAGGAGTCTAAGGAGACATGCACAGACCTCCCAGACACCACCTCCAGTAAGTCCTGGATTTACCCAAGATGCATTCTGGTCATCAAAGGAAGCTCATGTCTGCTGCGTATCCACAATCTGATTCTTTTGGTCACACCCACAGTTCACAGCCACAGGTGAAATGTAGATCGGCCAGTAGACAGACAACCTCACCTTTACATCCAGCTCTCTTCACCACAACAGACCAGTACAGAATCTGCATTTCCCACTGCACTCAACCCTTGAATAAGACCCTGAGGTACTCAAAGTTCTCCACCTAGGCCAGCAAGTGGAGGAGTGTCCACCCAGCTGAGACCCACCTGAATCTGGAGGTCATCACTCAATGACGCCAACACATCCAGGTTCTACTAACCGATGTTAAATTGTTAAGTCACGTTAGGCTCGCTAAGATATCTTATTACCTTTAATTTCGAGTTAATTGTTTTTGCACATAAAAAAATGCTTGAAAAAACCAGAAAGAACTACAAAGACAAAGAAATATCTTGGTACCATTTCATCTAAGATCTGTCGTTTAATCGAGGTCGGCTAAATAATCCCTGTGTGTGTGTTATCTCTGGTTTTGCACTATGAATTAGTCCTTAGTCCTGTCACTGTCTAATGCCTCTTCCACCAAAATAAATCCTTATTACTTGGTGGGACTTTTGGGACAGCGGAGGCACAAAGTAAAGATATAATCAGAATGATCATGAAAACCACCCAGAACAGTAGAAGCAGTCCGTTAGATTACGTTAGGTAAGATTTTTGCTGTACATGGATGGAGTTACAAAATTGCACACCTTGGCAAAGCAGTGCCTGCCACCCAAAAATTCATAAATTATTGTTAAACAAGTATAAGTATAGTAGCTCTGTGACTGAATACGTCCAAGTATTGTGTCAAACTCATGTCTGAGAAAAATAATTCCAGGCAAAATACAGAAAAAGTTTTGTCCATCTTACTGACCTGTCTTTGTCTCTCTGGTATTGGAATCGGACCCGTCCGTGCCTCAGCTCTGCCCACGTGAACGTGTCGTCCTTCTTTATTTCTCGGCCTCCCGTCTCTTCGACTTCTTCCCCTCTGAACAGGACCAGCCGTCCGTTACTCGGCTTCTGAACAAGCTGAAAGATCAGCTGCTCAGACGGACTGTCTGGGTCTTTCACCTGCAGCAGGGTGGGGAGCAGCGGGGCAAAACCATCAAAGGGAACCAGCAGGGACCCGTTGACATGGAGGGCAGGTGTGTGGGCGTTCACTGAGAGGACCAAGAAAAGAAAAACTCAAATCAATAACCTCATTCAAGCCAAGCTGGTGGAACACAAGTAAATTCTCTTACAGTGCATTTTAGATCCTTCTTGTGAAATACACAACAAATAGCAAACTTTCTTATACCTGTGGGGAAATTCATCGTCACGGATCCTCCAAAACAAGATTAAAGCAAAACTGGATTGTCAACGAGTATTTTTTAATAACAGAATGGGAACTTGGAAGGTAAAATAATCAGAAATAGAAATACTGAGTAGTTTAATCCATGCACAGCATCAAAAGTACATTTGTGAATGGTTTACTGAAAAAAGCCATCAAAGTAACTGGACTAATAACCAGTGTACAATAATAATTTGGTTTAAAAAAGCATCCAATTATCTTCATTAATACATTTTAATGCCTTCTTTAAATATCTGTTGGCATGGAGTTGTAGTCGGTCGGCGTAGAGGTTGAGAGGAGGTTATAAACTGAAAATGAAAAAAGTGTGTGTGGGAGAAATGGCAGACATATCACGAGTGAGACATCTCGGCCTTGGCGTGGCATTTTAGAAGTTGGCTCTAATTGGTGCTGACTTTGTTGGGGAACTTTTTAAAGATCAGCTCTTTTTGAGATGCCACCCTAATCTCATTATACCTCCCGTAATGATGCCAGCAGGCGTGCTTAAATCTCAAACTCTGGGCCATGTAATTATACTTCCAAATGAGAAGAAGTCTATAATTTAAAGCAATAGTTCCTGAACTTTTTTTTTTAGGGGGGGCTGCCAATTTTTTGTTTTTAAAGAGCAATTTTTTCTCCGTTTTACTTCATTAACGTGTGGATTAGCTGAAGGCAAAAAATGTTCATTATTTTACAAGAAAACGCATTTATCAGAAAGTGCGTGATAATATATTCCTTAATTATAAATATGCTTTGTCACTTTTCATTAAGAACTACAGTCTGCGCCTCAAGGCCTCGGGCATTTCAGCCTGCGGGTTGTTTTAAGATAAAAGAGGAAAAAAATTAAAGCACAAACTCTTTTAACATCCTAACTCTGCAGACAGAGCCTCCCCAGTCTTATTCAGGAGGACCAATTAAAAGTCACCAACAGGAACCTTCTAATTTCAGACAGATGTTAGCAGTCTTAGCTTCCAGTATCTTTATATTTGACCTGCAAAGACTTACATTTGTTATCAGTTTTCAAATTTGACTTCATAAGATGAAGTTCTATAGACCTTTTTCACTTCTGGATAGAGTCTGATTGATAGTTTATTTACGTTCGTCAGTGACTGAGAAACACAAATTAAATCAAGAGTTTTGCTGGGATCTCAGCAGATCAGCTGATCTCAGTGCCAGTCCACATCAGCTGACACTTCTATATATCCACCAGCTCTCTCATACAGAGAACACTATTTATGTAGCTTAGCTTGCCTACTGCACACTGAAGCTCATGCGAGCGGTATCTGACGTATTCAATGGCATAATCTCTTATCTTACTTCTGTTCTCACTCCTCTGGTTTTCAATGCATGGAAGGTTTTTCCTTTCAGTAACAACCACCTGTAATATTTAGGCCCTCTGCTAAAAGTAACCGAGATTTTTTTTATTCAATCTTAAATACTTTTTTATGAACTGGTAAAAAAGAAAACCAGGAGAATGTCTTCTATTATATTACCACAGACTCTTTGGTTTAACTGTGAATGGACCGATCATAGTAACTCCCAAAAGATTTTAAAAACGGGAAAAACTGACATGGAAATAAAAAATTTTGGTCCTGACTCATGTTAACATGGTCTTTATGTTCCAAACATTTAATTGCGATCACAAATTCTACCTGCTGAAAATATATAACTGGTCTGCTTGGTTGTGAGTTTCTTTGTGAAAAATACAATTGAAGCCTTTAATATGTTCTGATATATTACTAATACTATATTACAGTTGCTATGACCTTTATCTTCAACTGGAATCACTGTATCTGTTCTTTTTTTTTTTTTTTTCAAAATAGCTGTTGTGAGCAATACTGCATTTATTTATTTATTTATTTCTCTCCTTTTTTTTTTATCATTCTCCCTCAGATATTTTTATTAAAGTTTCTGGATCCAATTTTACAAAAGACAAATTGAACAAATGCCGTTTTCTTTTTGAAGAACATAAAACAATATGAAACATACACTCCCACCTCATGATTATAGAAGTACCAGTGGGTGTACAAAAAGAAAGGGTCGAATCTAATAATACGAATAGTAAACCCTGGAGTACAAGATAGCAGTTCCTGAGTGTACAAGAGAGATGTGGAGAGTTTCAGAGCCCACACCCCCACACAGACACAGAAAAAACAAAACACAGAAACCAAAAAAAAAACAAAACACAAACATAATGAGTGGTCAGCTTAGTTGTAGAGATAAGTCAAATCTGTAAGAGAAAAGAAATATGTATAAAGTAGGTAAGTAAATGCCATCATAAGGCGCAGGCACAATAGAGTCCATATACTTAAACATAAACATCTTACTTAAGCATAAGATAAAATAAAATAGAATAAAGTCTGAGCTAGCTAATTGGGAGTGTTGCGAGACCGCAAAGTCTGAACATGGTCAAAAAAGGGTTGCCAGGTCTTAAAAAATTTGGCCATAGACCCACGCAGAGTGAATTTAATCTTTTCGAGTTTGCTAAAATGCAAAGCGTCTCTGATCCAGATTTCCCAGGATGGGGGAGAAGGGGACTTCCAACATAACAATATTCTGCGTCTTGCCAATAAGGTGAGAAATGCTACCAGATCCGCTTGGGGCCTCGGCAAGACAACTGTATCAGGAAGAACCCCAAACAAAGCAGTTAAGGCCACAGGTTGGAGGGTTAGCTGGATGATCTTTGATAAAGTCAGAAAAATATTAATCCAGTATTGTTTGAGGGATGGACATGACCAAAACATATGTATTAGAGAGGCAGGTGTTTGATGACAACGGTCGCAATCAGGGCTAAGGTTGGGGTATATTTGAGCTAGTCTGGCTTGCCAAATTTGAAACACATCACACCGATGTGTCGGTGATCTGACCACAGTTCAGCATTGAGCTGCACAAAGTGACTGAGGACTGCCAATGACAAAACTGCTCACTGAGTCACTGAGTGTGTCACAATAAAAGCACCACTGCGACACAAAAGTACGAGCTGCTGGTGAAACTTTATCATGACATTTGTTGCTGTGCAACTTCAAACTGACAACACGTTTTACTGTATAAGCTTTATTTTTGGAGGGACATTAACATTTTGCAGCTTAACCTCCTCCACAGCATCACACACTTTTTCTGTTAGCAATGTAAATTTGCTTTTATGTAATATCTTGTGGTCATTTGCATTATTTATGTGGGCATCTTTAGTTTATTTGCATATAAGAAAAAAGCTCCCACTGGTACAGTGCTTGATACATGATGCTGTGCTCAGTATAGAAACCTCCCAGCTGAGAGAGAGAGAGTGACCTGGACCTAACCCAAGCCTCCCAGTTTGGCTGCAGAATTCACCTACTGTTGGTCTTTAAACTGTATTTATGCAATTCTTCTTATCAGAATTAACAGATTTAAAGTCTGGGAGCTTTCTATCAATAAATTAAAGGACTTTTCTGCTATGTAATGATAACTGTTTGCAGTTTTAAAACCAACATAGGCATCATGTTATCACCGTGACAGGTCCTGGTCTTCTGGTCTGCATAGTATCCATGTCCACAGTCAGGAGTGCAGTATCCTTCCATGAGGTAGGTCTGATTACGACAAGCTCTGCAGAGTCCGTTCCCGTCGCAGAGCACGCAGTCGGACGAGCAAGCTGAAGGAAAAGATCCAAATTATTCAAATATTATTCAAATTAGAAAAATGCTTCTTTTTGTTTTTACACAAGTCTTCAACTTTAAATGTTTTAAATGTCTATTATAAATTTATTTTTCAAACTAAATTAATACTCTGATCTTCATAGAAACAGTCTTTAAAAGTCTATCACTACATATAGAAATAGAATAAAAAGAAGATGTATATTCTTACATTTGCAAGCTTTGGAAGATGCATCCAGGAAGTAGTTCCTGCCACATTCGAGCACACACTGGCCGTGCAGCGTGGCGTAGGGAGGCTGGCATTCCTGGCACTGTCCAGGACCTCGACAGTCCAAACAGTGATCATCACAGCCTGCCACAGAGAGCAAAACATTTGAAAAAAACAGTGATATAGTAACTGAGTTAAAGACATTATTTATTTTATCACCAGATATTTTCTTAATGTGTTTTTTGGCTACTAGCACCGGTGAAAAAAGTAACATGGAGTCACACAGAAGCTGTATTACAGACTGATTAATGCACACATGCATTAATCAGTTTGCTTAGGCTTGTATGAATGTGTGTGACTGAGTGAATGAGGCTTGCTGAGAGTAGAAAAGTGCTATACACCAGTCCATGCAGTTGATTTGGCCAGTTCATACAACTTCTACATATAAAAGCTCTTTTAAGGAACCTTTTAGTTCAGCTGCTGCTGATTATCTGCTTTATTAAGATTGGCTGCGTTAGCAATCGATTAGGAAAAACAACTTCAAATGGACACAAATGTACAAACAACAGTGTAAAAGCCCAGAGGAAGCTCTTTGTGCAGCTACAATAGCACCGACTGCATGTGAAGTGGGTCAATTTATCTGCTTTTTGTTGGACTGACCGAGGCATCTGTCTCCATCCCGATAGGAGCCAAAGGAGCACCCCTGTGTGCACACTCCCTCCTGCAACACGTAGGCCTCCATGCATTGCAGGCAGTCAGTCCTCAGGGGGCCTTTACAGGCATTGCAGCTCCAGTCACACTCTGCAAACAGGATGGACGGTAGCAGAAAAGGAGTGAGAGGAGGAGGTGTACGTGCGTGTGTGTGTTGGGACATTGGGATTAGAAGTGAGGGGATTTTAGAGGTGAGAGCAAATAGTGAGAACAGAACAGAAGAGAGGGAGGGCGAGAGACCAAAAGAGATTAATCAACTTTTTTTTCTCTATAGGATTGATTTTAAAGCCATTTGTGCTTCTTTCTCTCTCATCACCTGCACATCTGTTGTTTGTCCTGTGCACAATTAATACAGGCACGAAAATGAAGCACAGTTGGGACTCTTCATGCTTGTATGACCTTCTACATTTGTATTAAACCTGAAGATGAAACTAAGCAGGATATACAGTTTGTAGAGCAACTACACATACAGTGAAATGCTACATTTTCTTAAAACGTATCAAATATACAAATTAGCCATAACTGTAGCCCAGAAAACTTCTGAACACATCAAGCTGAACTCTGAAAAAGGGACACATGTCAGCGAGGCGACTGGTGTCTGGGCATTAGTGCCGTTCATGTGAATCAGTGAAGTGGACCTGGCACCATCTTTGTGGTGTTGGTGTCTTTCAGATCACTTTAAACGAAACGATCTGAGTAATAGCACGGCTTTGTGCTTGGTCCAAAACGTTTTTCTTCCGTTTTGGTTCTAGTAATTGATAGTCTGCTGAGAACTCCAGCCTTTCATCCACAAATCACCTCAGTCTTCAATAAAACAACACAGTGATCCAGTATGCTTTACAAACCTATGGCTAATAACATGGTGGCAGCGTCCTTCCTTAAATATACAGCATGCAGCTGAGATGGATGTTTGGACCTCCTGCTGTGATGCTAAGTTAATTAATATTCTAATTTCCTCATGCAAGTTTTCCTTGGGGTCAATCTTTGATTTTTTTGTTTATATTATGGCAATATATATATATATATATATATATAATATATATAATTTCGTCATTTTGTTTAACAGCCACCATGAAAACTAGTTCATCTCTTAGTCTGTCTTCAGCATCTACCTTTGTTTTTAGGTGATAGTGGGAGGCAAACGGTGGGATCTGAGATGTAAATGAGGGATTTCTCAGTGGACAAAGATCACTGATAAAGCCAAACAAATGTAGGTTTTGGTAGTGCTTAAGGGTTTGTAAGAGACTCTCTCTGAGAACTTTGAAAGCTCCCCCGAGGCTGTGAAATGAAAGCTCCCAAAGTTTCTCGAAGCTGTTTTGGTTTTTGAGAGAGCTGATAGCCGTGGTGCTTTTAACTCTCTGGGTGCATCTAAGGTTCAGTGGATTAACCAGGGGGGTAAACACCATCATGAGCTGGATGGCTAAAAACCACCTGTCTAAGTGGGAGGCGCTGCTCGCTGGCTCAGAGGGAATCAAAATGTTTATTTAGCCCGGAGCAGCTAGCTTAGCTTCTAATCCCATAACAGACATGTGCAGTGTTGGTTCAGCCTCTGGGACCGGTTCCTTTGGGCCCCCGATACCTGGAAAACCCTTACTGCACTGGACTGAATCAGTGATAAAGGGTGATTTCCGCTTTATGTGAAATAACTTACTGTGAATTAAAGCATATGGTACATCAGCGTAACAACAGTCATGGGCTGAAATTAAATCTTATGCAGTCATTATTCTTTGATCCGGAAAACGGATAAAAAACACATTTTCACGTGTCTTATTATTGAGTTCCAGCCTGAAAAAATGCAAGCAAGGCTGATTAGTGGGTATTTAAATATATAAACAGTGGTGAAAAAAGGGATCACTATTCACTCAGGCCCGGGATCCCCTGAGGCTCATGCATCAATGTCTCTGTGCACAGGAAGATGTAATACTGAGTTAAAATGCACACACAATGTGTAGCATTTGCATACCTGGTTCTACAGTTTATTACTTGATTGATGGAGCCTATAAACTCAATGTAGCACAGTACACTACATGCAATATGGATGAAGAGCAATTTATGAATATCATAAAGGGTGCACTGCATATCCTCATTATTAATCCCCCTTGCCTCACTGCACCAGTGCATTTTGTGTGAGGTTGTCAGGCGACTTGGCAGCGTACCTCTGCAGGTGCGGGTCGTGGTGTTGAGGTAGTACTGATGGGCGCAGCTGTCGTACTGGCATTCTCCGAACAGCAGCACCTTGGCCGGGTCACGGCAGGAAGTACAAACCCCGGGCGTCTCGCACGTCAGGCACTGGCTGTCACATGCTGCAGAGAACAGAAAAGGTTGACGGACTAGTGAGGAAAATGTGAAACACCAGCCAACACCATAAACTGCCTGAATGTGGCTGTGTCGGATGCATCGATTGCCAAAATTCCTCCTAAACACATGCATGTGAGGTTAATAAGTGATTCTAAATTGACCTTGTGCGTCTGTAATAAGGAGGCAGTCTGACCAGGATGTACCCCACCTCTCGCAGCTTAAAGAGGCCCTCACAACACAAACAGAACTGAAGGAGTACTGAGTAATTAAAACACCAACTAACTGCACTTACTTGTTCATTGAGTCTGGGATCTGTCTGTAAAATGTAAAAATATCGTCTTAGCATTCTTTCGGTGTTGATGGCCTGTTTTCATGACTACCTACATCACTTTCCCACCGGCTTCTCTGCTTCACTCATTACTTTCAGCGTATATTCCACTGACTCACCATTCATTTTCTGACACACCGTCTTTGTGAGCTTTCACTAAACTTTTGTGCCATGAATGGTCCTTTTTGTTTGTGCCTGTTTTCGCCCTCTGCCCACTCTGTCTGGAATTCAATTCAGGCAATTCGTTCAATTTTATCTGCCTGACTTGTAGATGAACTTGTTTCACGCAAACAACAAGTTGGCTTTTTGGTTTTCTGTACGTGCGTGCTGCATTTCGCTCTGTTTTACGAGTTGTGACAAACTAAAAAGTAGCAGTAAGCTAATACCCATCAACTTCCACGTTAAAAAGTTTCCAGCAGAAACACATTTTTACGGGTCTCTGTGGATAGTATCCTTCTTTATAACAACCGTACCAGGATTATTATTTTTAATAACTCATCCAACATTGTTGCTTGTGTTGGAGCTGAAAATCAGTGTGTGGCCCTTGTCTGTAGCCTGTAGGTGTCTGCTAAGCTTCACCTTCACTAACCGGAGTCTCTGAACTAGACTTGTTTGGCTGTGTTTGTGGTTTTGGTGTTTTTTGGGGCATTTTAATTAAATAATCTCACCATTAATATTGCCTGATGTGTCCAAGAAGTTTGTAAATTTGTAATGGTAAGTAAAAGTCTATGATTTAATTAGACACTCCTTAGCAGTTATATATGCAGACAGTCTTCTCAGTGCAAACATAGAGTGCAGCTAACAGGAAAGGACCTTAACAAACCAAAATAGTAACATAGCAAAGGCATATTTTTAACATTCACAGTAAGCTTGTGTGTGTGTGTGTGTGTGTGTGTGTGTGTGTGTGTGTGTTTTCACTAACCCTGGCAGATCCTTTGGCCATTGTTATAGTATCCAAGGGGACATTTGGGGGCACAGAGTCCAGATGGCAAGAGAACGCTGTTGGCAGGGCAGGAAGTACAAGAGAGCGGCCCAGCCCCACTGCAGGCCTCGCATGATGGATGGCATTCTGGGAAAAAAAACGTCACCTTTTATGGACATGCAGTGACATAGAAATATAACCTAAGTTCCCAAAAAGCTGGCAGACCGTGTTAAATGTAAATAAGAACAGAATGCAATGATTTGAGATTTTACTCGTGGTTTAACATTGAAAACATATCAAATATTTAAAATGAGCCATTTTATTACGTTGTGAAAAATACTGGCCAACTTAGATTTTGATGGCAGGAACATGTTGGGATGCGGGCAACAAAAGGCTGTAAACAGCTCTAAAAACAGGAAGTAGACGTGCTGTCTGTGTTTGTTTGTGTCTATCCCAGCATCACCTCGACATCCTTGACGTTTGTCGATTGTTTTGTTCCAAGTTCGATGGAATTTCTATGCTGCTAATTAAACCCTCCATGTCAAAGGTTTTAATCCAGCGTGCCTTTATGATTTCTAAACTTCATCTTTTCCTCCGTCTGCCATGCGCCCTCCATACCGCCAACTGCCAGCTCGACAGTCTTTGCTTCTCTGTTCATTCAGCCTCAAGCCTTTATGTTCCAGTCCAACTATCCCCAGACTCTCCATTCACTGTAAAACCCGGCTTAATCGGCCTTCAAATTCCTCTATTTCTACTGAAAATATTGTATTTTGCACAACTCTGTTGCTTGTGAAGCTCGCACACAAGAATTTCACTCACATGTGCTGTACCAATGTACCTGCACATGTGATGTGACAATAAAAGTGATTTGATTTGATTTGATTTGAAAAAATAAAATCATTTTTAATAAAATAGAAACTTTTGGCTTTCTATTTAGACTTTCTCAAACCTGTAAACTTGTAAGAACTTTCAAAAAAGATAATCTGATATGTTGGAGAAGATATCAGAAAGACACTGATCCAAAAGGATGGATTGTGACAATAAACGTAGTCCTTTGTTGTTCTGTGTTTACTTCCTTAAACGTTAAACATGACCCTGTAGTGAGAATAAAGTCATTTTAGTAGTTTTGACTGTTAAAGAATTGCAATACAAGAAAAACTCAGATGGAAAAGGTTTTTTTAAGCTATAAACCCTCTTTGAAGTTGTCAAAAACAGATGGACACAACACTGAATCATCGGTTTCTTGACGACAAAAGGCGGCACAGTGGTTCAGCTGTTAGCTGTTGCCTTGCAGCAAGAAGGCCCAGAGTTCAAATCTGAGGACGGCCCGGTGCTGTGTTTTGTTTTGAAGTGTGCATGTTCTCTCCAGGTACTCCCTCAGTCCAACAACATCAATGTGAATCCTTATCTGTCTCTATGTGTTAGCCCAGCTCCCCCAGTAAGTCTGAACTGAGTAAGCGGCTGAGAGAAGGGAAGGATGGAAAAAGTCTTTTCCAACCCAAACTGTTGAGTTAAAAAATATTAACTTATCTAATAAGTGTATCGCGTTATTATCAAGGATACAGTCACTCAGAGTCATCTGCTCCTCATCCTTAGACACTGCACAGCCCAGCACCACACACTGCTCAGCACACTAACCACGGCATAAAAATATGAATCTGATGTAAAAATTCATCATCTGGCCTGAATCAGCACCAGGATAGAGGCAGATGTGCAAACATGTAGCTAATAAAATGTACCCATCCACCCACCTACCTGTTGTGTAGCACATGTTTGACCTGAGAGGTTTGTTCTGTGTCCACAGGAGCTATTTTTCCTCTATCTTGTGCTTTCTTCATATAGCTGTTGTAGTCACTGTGTGTGCATGAATGTGTTTGTATGCTATTGCCTGCAGCTAAGCTAAATGAGACTCCTGAGGTTTTACTCTTAAAGCCAGAGGCTTCCTGTTCACGCTCTGCATTTAGACCCGGGCGCAGATTCGCAGCAGATCAGTGTGGAGGCTGTTACAGCTGCTCAGCGGCTGAACCACAGGATGAGGAGGAGGACGAGGAGGAGGAGCAGGAGGACGATAATAATAATGACCAGGTATGATGAGGATAAGGATAATGGAGACAATGCGGAGGATGGCTTTGAAGAGGATGAGGGGATAATTAGAAATTCTTTTCTAGAGCAATTGTTTGTTTAAACATTTACTTTAAGTGTTTCTCCTGCTTGTTGTTTTCAGGTCAGCAGAGGGTGGAGAAACAAGCCCTCCCAGGTCAAGGAGGAGGAGGTTTGATTGATGAATAAAACACAAAAGCTTTGATTAGATTTCCCTACATTAAAGAAAGCTACTGCCTGACCTCTGACCTTCTTGTACAAAGGCAGAGAAGTAAAAAGTCCTTACTGATGCAGGCTCCATGCCAGCCATAATGACCCAGAGGACAGTGAGAGACACAGTGATCGCCCAGCAGCCACGTTCTTGGCGCTTTGCACCACAGACAGATGCTGCCGACGCCCGTCTGGAGGTCTGCTGTGCAGCGCTGGCAGTCCGAGCTGCACTCTGTGGAGATAACAGAAAGAATGATTTGTATTTTTTCATCTTCACAATGTAAACAGAAATGTACGCCATTATCAGCCACTCGTCAACGCCATGCTAAAACGTCTTTTCTTAAATCAAACGAGCTGATGTGCATCTGAAGCAAAGCAGGCGCCTCGCTGGTTTTTGTTTAAACGAAAAGCAAAAATAATCCAATCAGTCACAACTCGCTGTTTCTGACTACGAACGGCTCACGAGCTCCAGTTTTTTCTCCTTATGTCTCCCTTTCCCTCTGTTCCCTTTGTCCCCTGGTTACTTATTCAGGCTTTTTTTCATTTCTCTAGTTTGTTGAGTTGATTAATTTATATCCATGTTTAAAAGTAGTAAAATTCCTGCATGGCTAAAACAATAAAATCGCAATTAAAACATAAAAAACAAGGAAAATATAAACAAATGATTTTTTTTTTAATCCAAAGAATAAAAATTGGTTTTCAAACAGGATTTTAAAATGCCTGTTGTTAGGCAGCAGTCCGCTCCACTTACTATCAGTGGTTACTTAAAAAATCAGATCTTTCTTTTGATGAAAACTTCAGGAGCATCTCCACAGTGATGACCTCAGTGATGTAGTTAAATATATGTTAAATTATGAGGACTTCCCATAATGCACTGCTCGTGTCGTCAGCGTTTATCTTCTCGCTCCTGTAGCTTGTGTTTTGCCCTCATGGTTTTTATCTGACAGAACAAAGTTTGCTGAAGCGCCTGATTAACTGAGGATTTAAAGTTCTCTGCAGAAATGTTTCTACTCTGGTGACTTTTCACATAGATGTTCTATGCCACTGCATGTATATGTTCTTTTTCATGAGCAGTTATCTTTGTCTGACATATTTGATCATAAAACACAAAAATAGGCTGTAACAAAGCAACGGACAGACAATACAGCTGCATCTCGAAGTCTCTCCTCGTGTGCTCCTCGCCTCTCCCTCTCACATGTCTTATGGAATAAACTAAGACAAATAGAAAAAGGAAAAGTAGGCAGTACAAGTCTGTAGGATTAGACGTGGCATCTACCCCAGTGTTTCATCCAGACCTCGATGATCTTCAGCTGCTTTATTCCAATTTCTATGTAACTCCCATCTCTACTGCTGCTAATTAAGCTCCCCGTGTCAAAAGTTTTAATCCAACGTGCCTTTATGATTTCTAAACTTCATCTTTTCCGCTGTCTGTCTGCCCGATCTCCGTCTGCCATGCACCGTCCAAACCTCCAACTGCCAGCTCGACAGTCTTTGCTTTTCAGTTCATTCAGACTCAACCCTTTATGTTCCAGTCCAGCTATCCCCACACTCCCCATTCACTGCAAAACTCTGTTTAATCAGCCTTCAGTTCCTCTATTTCTACTGAAAAAATAAAATCATTTTTAATAGAATAAGATGTGATAAGCTGGGTAAAGGGAGAAAGAGCAAGGGAGCTTATGCATTCACATTTAAGTTCTCCATTTACTTTGAAAACTTTTGGCTTTCTTTTCAGACTTTCTCAAACCTGCAAACTTTTAAGGGCTTTTAAATCCGTTTAAAAGAAAATCTGATATAATGGAGATTCAAAAGGATCTCCATTATAAAGCAGTCCCGTGTTATTCTGCGTTTACTTCCTCACACGATGGCAGCAGGTAGCGGCAAAGGAGGAAATTAACAGCAGAGGTATTTATTGCTGCTTCACCAACAGCTTGATTTGTATATTTAGTTTCTGACTTAACCACAAACTGTGGTCAAAGCGAGTTGACTGAAAAGAGTTCCTCTCAGCTTGTTTACGTCCTTTCTTGCAGTAAGCAGTCAGAGACATTACCCAAGAAGCTGGAAAGACCTTCACTTAGTATAATAAAAGCTTACTTGTGGTAAGATGTATATTAAGATGAGGAAAAAGGAGAAACTACTGTTTGCAGCCTAATGACTCCCACTTTGATCCAAAATAAGACAGATGGTAACTCAGATGCTTCTTGCTTCAGAGCAACAGTAATCGATGCAGCATTACGGTGCCCGAGCATGTGGCAACAATACGTTTTGATAGCTCGAGCGCTTGTAAAACCACACAGTTTGTGTTTTTTTTAGACAACTGCTGGTGTTTGGTGGAGAACACTTACTAAATATCAGCTCATGGCAAACAAAAGTACAATATAGTTTGTTGCTAACATGCAAAAATTAAGCAGAAATAAGTAGGAAGGATTTTAAAAGCAAAGCATTTTTGACTAAAGATATAAAAGGAGAGTAAATATGATTCCTTTATTGTTTTCCACACCTTTAAACTCCAAAACTGTGATCTCGTAAGATAAATGCCAGTGATAGGTGAAAAGAAGCTGCCCACACCCACACCCACAGACCCGTATATACCCTCAGAACTAAGTGCAGCAGGATCTCCCAAAAGGCGCCAAGATTAACAGAACAATGAGCATCTGGTGGTGTTTTATCTGATGGTATCTGGGTTGTGTCTGGCTGACACAGTGGTGGGTACCTTAAAGTTATTTGTCTGTGATGAGATAACGATGTATAGTGGAAACAATGAGGTAGAGTGGGGAGTTATGTGATGGTGAGGACAGCAGTAAAAGAGGCGGACAAAGAAGTATCACTAACAATTTATCATTTTAATTCTGTTTGCAGATATTACAATTTGATGCGCCATAAAAAAAACATTAGGTGATCTTTAGTATTTGCACGACTAAGTACTACTATATTAAAGAAATGAACTTCTGCAAACCCAATTCCAGAAAAGTCAGGATGCCACATAAAATGTATCAAAACAGAAGGATCGCAAATCTCATAAAGCCACATTATATTAACAGTAAAATCTCAGAGAAGTTGGGATGGACAAAACAAGTCAATGGAAAAGGAAGCAGCGCTATAAAATAACAGCTGGAGGAACATTTTGCTTCCAATAAAAGCATCTTAGACAGACTGAATTTCTCAGAGGAGGTTCACCAATCTGCAAAACAATGTGTCTACAAATTGTGGAACAATTTCAGAGTAATGTGAAAATGCAAAAACATTGAATATCTCATCATCTGCAGTACATGATGTGATCGAAAGATTCAGAGTATCTGGAAAAATCTCTGTGTGGAAGGGACATGGATGACCGTGATCGTTGGCCCTGAAGCAGCATTGTGTTAAAAAACAGGCGTGTTTCTGTCACGCCATCAGTGTAAACACAGTTTACTGTGCCATCCACGCATGATCCAGAAACACTGATGTCTTCTGTGGGCCAAAGCTCAGTTAAAATGGCCAGAAACTGTTCTGTAGTCAGGATCCAAATCTGACCTCATGTCCTCTGAACTAAAGAGAGGGACCATCCAACTTGTTATCAGCGCTCACTTTGTCAGCCTGCATCTCTGATGGTATGGGGGTGTATTAGCAGCACGCATATCTGGAAAGCCACCATCACTGGTGAATGGTGTATAAAGGTTTTAGAACATCATATATACACATATAACATCCAGTCAATGCTGTCTTCAGGGAAGGCCTTCCATATTTCAGCCTGACAATGCTAAACCGACATACTTCCTCATTAGCGTCATCTCTTTATGTTTATATTCTCAGATCCTCTGGGTTTTAGAGTAGCTGGTCCCTGCACATGGTTGTCAAGTCTCTGTGTTAGAAGTTTTCCTGTTTTGGGTTTCCTGCTTTATTTTTCTAGTCTCTTAGTTTTAGTTTCAGTGTCTTGTCATCATTGATTTGTTCAGCTGAAGTCTGAAGAAATCACTTGGATGAGTGACGAAATGAAACTGAAAACGCTACGTCCAGATGAACAGAATCAACTATTTGGGATTTACTTACCTGGATGATTGAGCATGCATCAAGACTGCTCAGCTGTGTCTCATTTTCCATTAGCCCTCAATGTCTGTGTTTACGCCTCGCTTTTCCTTTGGTCTTTGTTGCACTGTACTGTAGTCTTCTGTTGCTTTTCCAGCCTTTGTTTGTAATCACACTTGTGGATGCTTTGCTTTGGCATTTTCATGGACTTTGTGTAAAGGTAAAGGTATGTTCTTACTCTTCTTTGATATCTGTCAGCTTAAACAAGCAATATCTTTTCAATGTTCACGTGCGAATAAAATATGGGTTTGTGAAATTTTTGAAACATTAAATTCTGTTTTTATAAAGCATCATAACTTTAGAGTAGAAACAGCAAAGTTAAGCTCTTTTATGCTTGTGAAAGAGTTTATAAGTGTTTCAATCTGCAGCAGCACAGATGGGAAAAACAGTAAAATATAAGTAAAAGCAAAACCACAAGCCCAGTGTGGGTGTGCGTACTCAACTGCGTAATTCAAAACTCCCAAGTTGCCTGATTGCGTCAAAAACTGCTTCTACTGGACGTGACCTCAATTTTAAACCAAGTAGGGGAAAAAAGACTCTTCTGCCTCTTTTTCTATTCATGTGGCTAAAACAAGATTTTTTCCTTCCCCTGCAGGCATGTTTTATTTTACTCACAGTTTCCATGGTTTTCTAAACACACGTATTCATAGGCTTTTCTTTCTTTAGATTTCTGTTTTTCATCGATTTATTTTCTGTGCATGAACATAGTACATGTTTGGATGTGTATTGTTTTTTTTTTATAAAGATGATACTGCCCTGTCAGTCAATCCCTGAGGAAAAACGCAGTTTACCTTCAGTTTAAAATCAACACAAGTGAACTGATGGAAAACGCTGCACCCTAATGAGTCACCAGATTTGCATTTCTCCTGCATATTTCCACACATTGCCCTGGATCTTTATTTCATTTGCATTTTGGTCATGTTCAGTGAGGTATATGCGATGCTGTTTGGAACTAAACAGCTAAAAAAAGAAATCAAAGATCTCAAGAGGAAGAAAAAGTGAGAAACTACAAAATAGGCGCCCACTTATGCTAATGCATTTCTAACCACACTGGTTCGGTTGTTATTACACTGCTGCATTACAAGTGGGAGGATTTAAGTTATGTATTTTCACACATTAACATTATTTCTCGGAAAGCTTCATGTTTTAAACATACTAAACGAACGAATC